ACTGCCTAACATCGATCGCATGATCGATGCCACGGCCGGCCATGAGATCCTTACTTTTCTCGATGCCTATTCCGGGTACAATCAAATCCAAATGAACCCGGAGGACCAAGAAAAGACTTCATTTATCACCAAGTATAGAACCTATTGTTATAATGTAATGCCCTTCAGGCTAAAAAATACATGAGCTACTTACCAACGTCTAGTAAATAAAATATTCGAAGAACAAATAGGTAAATCAATGGAAGTTTATATCGACGACATGCTAGTTAATCCTTGCGCGCAGAGGACCATTTGATTCATTTGCAGGAAACGTTCGAGATTTTAAGGAAATACAACATGAAGCTCAACCCTGAGAAATGTGCTTTCGGGGTCGGTTCGGGCAAGTTCTTTGGCTTCATGGTATCGAATCGGGGGATCGAAATCAACCCCGATAAAATCAAAGCCATCGAAGACATCACCGTCGTGGATAGTGTAAAAGCCGTACAGAAGCTAACCGGACGGATAGCTGCATTAGGTCGATTCATCTCGAGGTCGTCGGATCGAAGCCACCGATTTTTCTCTCTACTCAAAAAGAAGAACGATTTTGCCTGGACCCCGGAATGCCAACATGCATTAGAAGAATTGAAGCGATACCTATCGAGCCCACCACTGCTTCACACTCCGAAGGCAGATGAGAAACTTTACTTGTACTTAGCAGTATCGAAAATAGTGGTAAGTGGTGTCCTAGTTCGAGAAGAGCAATGTACGCAATTTTTCGTTTATTATATAAGTCGAACCATAGGGGAAGCAGAAACTAGGTATCCGCACTTGGAGAAATTGGCATTTGCACTGATAAATGCCTCTTGAAAGTTAAGACCATACTTTTATTGTCACCCCATATGTGTATTAACTACTTACCCACTTCGGAATATTTTGCACAAGCCCGAACTATCGGGCCGATTGGCCAAATGGGCCGTCGAACTCAGTGGGTACGATATCGAATATCAATCCCGGACGGCCATCAAGTCTCAAATTTTAGCGGACTTCATAGTCGATTTCGCGCCAACCCTCGTACCTGAAGTGGAAAAGGAACTCTTGTTAAAATCGAATACATCGTCGAGGGTATGGACCCTCTTCACAGACGGTGCTTTGAATGTGAAGGGGTCCGGGCTGGGCATCGTTTTGAAGCCACCCACGAGTAGCACTATTAGGCAATCTATCAAAACTTCTAGGTTGACTAACAATGAGGCCGAGTACGAGGCCATGATTACAGGTCTCGAACTAGCCAAAAGCTTGGGAGCAGAAGTCATTGAAGCCAAGTATGACTCTTTACTGATGGTAAACTAAGTAAACAAAACCTTCGAAGTTTGAAAGGATAGAATGCAAAGGTATTTGGACAAACTGCAGGTAACTTTGCACCGTTTCAAAGAATGGACTTTACAGCATGTATTTCGAGAACAAAACAATGAGGCCGATGCACTTGAAAATTTTGGGTCGTCGGTCGAGGAAGACGAGATCAGCTCGGGGACTGTCGTTCAACTCTCGAAATCCGTAATCGAGGAAGTTCATATCGAGATAAACTCTACAAGCTTAACCTGGGATTGGAGGAATAAATATATTGAATACTTGAAGAACGGAAATTAGGGTTTCTAAAAGTTCTCAAAGAACACCTTGATACAAAGCTGAAAAACAAGACGAGATACGAAATGAAAGGATTCGCTCTGATACCATGTTAGAAATCAGAAATTCAAGCTCGAATCCATGGAGGATTTCGGCGATCGGAACAAATGTGAAACAGAGAGGAGAAGAATGGCGTGTGAGACATGCAGCAGATGGAATAGAAAATATCTGGACTTTTCTCATTAGTTTAAAATGTATGACTGTGCAAGTATTTGTAGAGTGGGCCTAACTAAATCTAAGATTTGGGCTAACTAATTACATATCTAATAAAAGAAACAAAGCAGATAAATAAAATGGCCCAAATACAACTCTAACAGTTTTACCTATAGGGCCTAAATTTATTACACGCCTACCTATTCCCCTTTCCCCCTTGATTCAACAGTAAAGGGTTCGATATAAATGCAAAACTCTTTCTCTCTTTCATTATGCAAGCATTTACCTGTAAAAAGGAAGTTTAATGTACCTATTTTATTTTATCTTTATTTTTTTAAATTGAAAGGAGTTTATTTCTATAATATGCAAAATCACGACATGTATATATTAGTTATTCAAATAATCTTTTATGATAAATATCAATAGTAACCTAATAAAATTACAATAAACATACGTTATATAAAAAACAAATACTATACTAATAGTATAAAATATTTTTATATTATTGTTAATGTATANAATTACTCTTTTATACCCATTTTGAAAAAAATTAGAATACATACCTATTCCATCAAAATTAATTACCTGTCCATCTATCTCTACCTAAAAAAGGAGTTGTCATCACGACCTTTTTAGTAGAACTCGTATTCAATGGAAGTGATTAAGCTGAAGCAAAATAACATATTTAAATTTTAGTATAATCGATGACGCACAAAAATTGAGTTAATTAGATTATATGACAACTGATATTATTTCAATTTAATAATTGAATTAAAAAATCTTTTTAAAACTTTTTGCGTACAACTGTATACCCTGTTGGTATAACTATATACTATACTGGTATCATATGTTAGTTGGAATCTTTTTTGGTTGTATTAGCTACATTTAATTGGTACACTGTTTGATTTTTCTTTAGTAATAGTAGAATAATACAGTATCTTGAATTTTTTAATTTTCCTTTATGTATGTGTATTATGTAATCATTTTGATTTTTTCTTTATCCGTTTTTTTTATATAATAGTATTATAGTACAATATCTTGAAATATATTATTATATTAATATGTGGTACACTACTTTTTAATTTTTTTCTTTATGCATGTTTATTATGTAATAGTAGTATAGTCATATTGAAATTAATTAGTAGAACTGTATACCCTATTGGTATAATTATATGTCATATTGGTATCATATGGTAGTTGGAATATTTTTTGGTTGTTTTAGCTGCATTTTAAGTGAATTCTATTCTGAAATGATTTATATGATCATGTTTTGTTCTGTTGGATTTTCTTGTACCTATGGACATAGATTTTGTGTATTATATAATAGTTTTTATAGTTATATGCAGTTGTTGGAACGACCCTGTACTACTATATATCCTATTAGTATAGCTATATGCTATATTGGTATCATATGCTAGTTGAATTCTTTTTTGGTTGTATTAGCTGCATTTAATTGGTACACTATTTAATTTTCTTTTAATAATAGTAATATAGTACAATATCTTAAAATACTTTATTATATTAATATGTGGTATACTATTTTTTTTATTTTTCTATTTATGCATGTGTGTTATGTAATAGTAGTATAGTTATATAGTTGTTGGGAATTAACCAGTAAAATTGTATATCATGTTTGTATAGTTATATGCCATATTGGTATCATATGATAGTCTGAATTCTTTTTGATTATTTTAGCTGCATTTTTAAGTGAATTCTATTCTAAAATTATTTATATAAATATGATTTGTAGTGCTGGAACTTTTTTGTGCCGATGGACATAGATTATGTATATTATGTAATAGTTTTTATAGTTATAGGCAATTGTTGGAACGACCTCATATAACTATATACCCTGTTAGTATACAGAATGAGCAAGTTGCTTTGCGAATATTTAGCTTGCAATGCGAGCATGTAATTTTCTCATACTTTTATTGCATCCTTTAATGTTTTGGTACAGTAGTATAGTCGCAGATAGTTGTAGCAATATTCCAGAGCAATCATATACTCTGTTGGTATACATGTATGCCATATTGGTATCATATGTACTAGAAGTCTTTTTTGCTACTTATACTTTTATTGCATTTTCCAATATTTTATTATCATTTTTATTCTAACTAGTATATATGGAGATTTGGTGGCTGTAGATTGTGTTTTTTTGCTCCATAATTGGTTGTGTTATTACTAATGGTAGAGTGTGTACTAATATTTGTAGGGAAGGAGATCAAGGTTTGCATGGCAATCACGTGTTGATTCTTAGAATCTGATTATGTAATTTATGGTGCTCAGCAACAGTCAGTGTGATATTCAGTGAATTAGATCAAGTGACAACTGATATTATTTCAGTTTAATAATTGAATTAAAAAAAATGAGAAAAAGACAAAAGATATATTATACTAGTTATATTTTAAAAAAAGGTGAATAAATATTTACTATATCAATTACTTTTTCTTATTGTATAAAAAAAGAATTATAAAAAATAGTGAAAACAATAAATGAAATTAGATTATGAAGAGAAAAAGAATATAAAAAAAAANCATATTAAGAAGAAAACAAGAAAAAAGAAAAGGAAAAAAGAAAAAAGACAAGAAGCTGAGAAATAAAAAAGAAAAGGAGAAAAAGAATAATAGGTGGGAAAAATAATTAGTTTTATGGGTAGAAAAGTAAATGGGTAGGTAAGGATAAATAGTTCTGTTTTTGTGGGTAATTGTGTCGTTTATCCTAAAAAAAAATTCACTTCTTATCATCATCTTTCGAGACAGCGGAAAAGAACATATAGTAAAGGTGGGATTTTGATTATCTGGATATGGCATATGCAAATTTGATATATTGTTTATTAATCTTCTTAACCTATTCATTTAAAATTAAGAAGATTAGATTTAATAATAAATGTCTTCCAATTTCCTGACACGAAAATTTTGGTACATATGAATGGTACCAAGACAAGTAATGTCAAATCCATTACATATTTGGAAGAAAAACCATTAGTTATAAATGATTCTCCAATAGATGAATTCAAATACATTGATTTTATCACAGTATTTACCATATCTCAATAAGTCAAAGTTTGTAGTGAATCTCCTCAGTCTTCTAAAATATGGAATTTCATTTATGACATGTCCTCTAATTTTTGTTATAAATATAGATATCATAATCACAGCACTACACATCTCAAAACAATTCTCACAAACATGGCATTGTCTAATAATATTAGAGACAAAACTAGAGAAATCCTCGCTGCTCAGGCACACATAGCTAACCATGTATTCAATTACATAAATTTCGTGTCCCTCAAATGTACTATTCAGCTTGAAATTCCAGATATCATTCACAACCATGGCAAACCAATGACCCTTTCCAATTTAGTGAATGCCCTCCCTATCAACAAAGCCAAAGGTCAGGATTGTATTTACCGTCTCATGCGTATTCTAATCCATTCAGGTTTCTTTATCCAAACCAAAATTAATGAAAATGAAGAAGAGGGTTATTTACTTACTCCAAATTCACATCTCCTCCTTAAAAATGAGCCTTTGAGTTTAGCTCCATTTGTGCTAGCGCAATTAGATCCAATTTTAATGGATCCGTTTCAGAGTCTAAGCAAATGGTTACAAAATAGTGACTCTACTCCGTTTGCAACTGCTCATGGGAAGCCATTGTTTGAATATGCAGGGGATGAACCTCGGCTTAATTATTTATTTAATGAAGCTATGGCTAGTGATGCCCGATTGATGATAAGTGTGGTGATTAAAAATGGTAGGGGAATTTTTGAAGGGTTGAAATCATTGGCGGATGTTGGAGGTGGCATTGGTACTGTGGCTAAAGCAATATCTAATGCATTTCCTGAAATAAAGTGCACTGTTTTTGATTTGCCACATGTTGTTGAAGGCTTGGAAGGGAGCAACAAGTTGAGTTATGTGGGAGGAGACATGTTTAAGTCCGTTCCTTCTGCAGATGCAATTTTATTGAAGGAAAAATACTACTCTTAACATACTTTTTTTCTAGAGTTGTAAACATGCGGGTTGAGTTAAAATGAGTTGGGTAAGGATAAGTCAAATGACTAGTCATGATTCAATCCACCTAACATGACCCAATATCCCCTCCTATTTTATTTTTTATGTTGTGAAAGAAATTGCGATAACTAATGTAATTATTAGCTTTAATTTTTCTAAATTTATTTATTTCTCAAATTTCAAAACTTGATTTTGTATATTTAGGGTTGGGTTATTGTTAGACGATGTGGCATTATTACCGATAGTTTTCGCACTTCTCTTGTAGCTTCGTATTCCTAGATTTTTGCTATTACATGTTGTGTTATTTGTTTCCCTCATCTTATTTTCTTGCCATTATTATTGCTTGTTTATTGAGTCTTGTTTATTATTTTTGAGCCGAGGGTCTATCGGAAACATGCTCTCTTCCTTCATAAGGTAGGGTTAAGGTCTGCGTACGCATTACCCCACGTGTAGTATTTCATAAGGATTTCAGTAGGTTTGTTGTTGTTTAATGTTTAGGTTTGGGTTACATTTTGACCGGTTAGAATACAATATTTCACCCGTTTTTACCTAATAATTGGATCGGTTATTTTGGGTTCAACCCGTTGGGTCAAATTAACAAACGGATCATAACTCAACCTGTTTAGACTAGACGGATTGAGGCGTGGGTTACTAAAACTGTATAGTATTAATTTTACTACTTAAATGTTCCCTTTTGTTCAGTTATCTTGTTAATGAAAATTATGGTTTTGATGAATGACAAGCATTCTCGGACATTCTTATGATGGTTCATGTTTCTGGGAAAGAAAGGAATCGAGAAGAATGGGCAAAACTCTTTTGTGATGCTGGTTTTAGTGACTACAAGATTATTCCTATCCTGGGATTAAGGTCTCTTATTGAGGTTTACCCTTAATATAATCTTGTACTAATAATTAATAATTCAAATACAAATAGACTTGCTTGATGAGGTGAGTGAAGCATTTTGAACTTCTAAATAAGGTAATATATTATACCATTAATATGAAAATTGTTCCTTTTTATATGGTGAAAAAGGAGCCTGTGTTAATTATAGTTCATTAATTTATTAGTATATTTCAGAGAGAGACTCATCATATTATTTGCCAAACAAGCCCAGAATCATGAATATAATAGCAGGGTTATAAATGCATCATTCAAATAAGTCTAAAATACAATAAACTTTTTCATCTGACTAATGTTTTTGGTGCCTGAGATTGAACCACACCACCAACAGAAGAGGCTCAAACTATTTGCAAATCCAGCTCTTCTTTGATGGAGTCTGAGCAAAGAAAAAGAAGTCTGAAATGGAGTTCGAAAGCTTAACAAAGAAATTGCAGAAGGATACAAATGGGAAAGATAAGAGAAAGGAGTGCGCTAATCTTGAATATAAGTGGATCCCTCTTGTAATATTATAGGACTTTAAGTTTTATGCACATGCAGTGTAAAAATTATTTAAACAAGCAAGTTAATTATAGTGTAATTACAAGTAAATCTCATGAATTGATTACTTAATAAACACTGTTACTAACGTGCTATAACCGGCTAAGATATGCTAATATAGCGTAAAAAAATATTACACTGTCACTTAAATCCATATTAGAGACATCGTGCATCATAATAATGATTTAGATCCATTGTTATAGTTTTCCTACACCACTAAATTTTAGGTTGGGCCAAAACCTAAAGTGAACAAGTCCACGTCTAACTTATCTGAATTGGGACAACATACCAATGGAAATTTGGAACCACAACATAGGGCTTTAAACATATTTGACCGCTTCGCTAAAAAAATATTTACAATCGCTAGCCAATATACATATACTATATATATATCTGCCAATTATTCTTTTTGGCCAAACGGCGATTTAAGTTAATTTCTTAATAGGTTATAAACCAAGTCCAAGCATGGCCCAAACGAGCAGGCTACATGGAAATTCCAATCTCGTGTTACATGACTTTACTCTACTTGAAAAGTTGCCGTCATTGTGGTCGAGTGTCAAGTTTGATTATAGTGAGTATTGACTATTAATCTTACTGATAAAGATTAACCCACGAAGTCCATTAATATTTCAGTACAAGAATTTTGTGGAAGGAACTTTTCTCTTAATTGAATGTTCAGCATTTAACTTTAATGTTGCTTCCAGTTTTTGTTTTTCTAATTGCGAACAAGGACAATTACGTTCTTTTCCGTATTTGTTTTTGTGTAATATGGCCATTAATTTGACTTCTTCTCAAGTTAGGGCCAAATTTTCATGACATTTACCATGACATAATATCTATTATAATTAAATTTATGGATCGTGACATTTGCCATGACATTATATCCACTATTAGGCCAAGGATTTCTTGCTATAAATAGAGGAGCTTCTCCCCATTTGTAAACACACCAATTCAAGAGCTTTTCACTCTTGTCTTTCTTTCTCCTCCTTTATTTCATTATAGAGTATTTTGTAAGAGAGTGAGTGTTGGAAAACACTTGTGTGAACTCTTTCTTTGGAGTGAACTTGTAAGGTTATTCTCTTGGGGTATTTGGGACTAATTAGAGTATTTACTCTAATTTTGTACTCTTGTTGGTATAGTGAAATTGCTCATCTCTGCTTATGGACATACGTCACCTTGACCGAATCACGTTAAATTTGTGTCTTCTTTATCTTCTTTAATTGCCGTTATTATCAACTTGCATTGTCTTTGTTATTGTCATTATAACATTGTTTGGCTATTTTCGCACTACCCGGTTTACCGATCCTAACAAATTAGTATCAGAGCCAGATCTAACCGGGTTAGTTCAAATAACCAAAATGACTCTAACAAAGTCTTATGTTGAGAAATTTGACCGAAGTGCAAACTTCGGAATGTGGTAATTAAAGATGGAAGCTATCCTAATTCAGGATGGCTTAAATTTGGCACTGCAAGGAAATGAGAAGATGCCGGATAAAATGACGGACGAGGAGTTTGCCGTCATAGACAAAAAGGCAAAAGCAAGTATTATTTTAAATCTTTCAAATGAGGTTTTGCGTGAAGTTGTAACAGAAAGCTCAGCTAAAGGCATATGGGAAAAACTTAAAACCCTATATATGAAAAGAACAGTAGAAAACACGCTTTACCTAAAGCAAAAACTCAATACTTTTCATATGGCTCAAGGTACCTCTATACTTACACATCTTGATACTTTTGATTCTCTTCTTATGGATTTAAGTAACATAGATGCTGAAATCAAAGATGAGGATCAAGCTGTGTTATTATTTATTTCCTTACCCCAATCATTTAAACATATAAGAGATACCATATTTTATGGAAAGGATAATATCTCTTATAAAGATATCAAATCTATTTTGAAATTAAAAGAACAAATAGATAGAGATATTACTGGAAAAACTAGTGGGAACCAAGAGGAAGGCTTATTCATAAGAGGTAGATCCAATAAGAAAGATTCAAGTAGTGAAAAACCTAAATCAAGATCAAAATCCAGATACAAAAATGTCATGTGCAAATATTGTCATAAGAAACGTCACATTATTTCTGAATGCTTTAAATTGAAAAACAAAGAAAAGCATACAGAAAAGAAAAATGAGCACAAAAATACTGACACTGCCTAAGCAAGTGTAGCTGCTCATGAGACTGAGGGAACTATTTTACTAGCAACTAATAGTATTTTCAAATCTAACAATGAGTGAATTTTAGATTAGGATTGTTCTTATCATATGTGTCCCAATCGGGATTTATTTACCACATGAATCTATTAGAGGTGGAGTTGTCTTGATGGGCAACAATATTGCCTGCAAAGTTATTGGAATAGGTACAGTCCGAATCAAGATGCACGATGGTGTGGTGAGAACTCTCACCGATGTTAGACATGTTCCTGACTTGAAGAAAAATCTCATCTCTTTGGGCACTCTAGAATCTCTTGGGTGCAAGTACACATGTGAAGGCCGAGTTCTGAAAGATTCTCATGGTGCTCTTGTGATCATGAAAGCACACAGATCTGGTATGTTGTATACTCTTTTGGGATCTACTGTTACAGGTGCTACTGCAGTTTCAATATAAGATAAATCAGATTCCGACATCACCAAATTGTGGCATATGCGATTGGGGCATATGAGTGAAAAAGGTCTTTCCATCCTCAGCAAAAGAGGTCTCTTATGTAGTCAAAGTATCGAAAATATAGAGTTTTGTGAACATTATGTGTTCGGGAAGCAGAAAAGATTCAGCTTCAAATTTTCAGCGATTCATAGAACAAAAGGTACTTTGGATTATATTCATTCAGATCTTTGGGGTCCTTCACGTACCCCATCAAAAGGTGGTACCATGTATATGTTAACTTTCATTGATGATTATTCCAGGAAAGTTTGGGTTTATTTTCTGAAAAATAGAAGTGATATTTTCTTAAATTTCAAACAATGGAAAGTTATGATTGAGAAGCAAACAGGAAAACAAATTAAGCGGCTTAGAACAGATAATGGCTTAGAATTTTGTAATGATGAATTCAATGAATTTTGCAAGAATGAAGGAATTGATCGACATCGTACTGTGAGAATGACACCTCAGCAAAATGGTGTGGAAGAAAGGATGAATAGAACTCTTTTGGAAAGGGCCCGTTGCATGATTTCAAATGCTTGGTTGACAAATGCCTTTTGGGCAGAAGCTATCTCTACCACTTGTTATATTGTCAACCGAGCTCCTTCTGCACCTTTGAACTTTAAGACTCCAGAGAAAATGTGGTCAGGTACTCCTGCTAATGTCACGACCCAAAATCCCCTCCGTTTGGGTATCGTGATGGCACCTAGTCTTAAAGACTAGGTAAGCCTAACATTAATTGAAACAACAACTTTATTTAAACAACATCTAAAAATTTGAAATATAAATCTCTTGAAGTTTTACTATTCTCAAAACCCGGCACATCAAATATAAATCTCAATTATTACAACTTTCCACAAAAATTGCACATCAAATGCTCAAATATTACAATTATCACAGATTACACATCAAGTGCTCAAATATCACAATTTGCCACAAAAATCAACAATTCCTTATTTTTCACAATAAGGAGCCCATGGCTCGACCATAATATGCACAAAAATCTTAACAAAATATCCGAAAATGAACAACTCAACAAAATTATACTTCACATAAAAATCAAGGTAGCAATCACACCAAATCATCATGTAAAAATAATTTCAACAAACAAGGATCTAGGCATGAC